AGCCCACAGATCTGCAGGAATGCTGCCTGGGTCACCAAAAGTGAGGTCCATGACCTGCATTAATGAGTGCATCTGGATCTAATTCAAAATGCAGAATCTCAATTCTGCTGTCAGAATCTGCATTTTCACCCGATCCTAGGCAATTCGTATGCATGTTATAATTCAAGAAGCTCTTCGAGAACTTTGAGGAATGAAAGGTTAGGCACCTTGGATTTTCACTCTTATATGTTGGTTTTGAGGTTCACTTTCAAATATGTTGACTTATGATTACTTTAAAGTTTAAAAGTTCAATAACCTGGTGCTCAAATACTCAGTGTTCTTAACTGGAAAACAATGTATAAAACTCTGGGTTCTGGTCCAGACAGCACAGCTGATGTTCTTCTATGAACACAAATCTCTGATTTGTCTGTTTATATGGAGGGCATTTCTGCCCCATACCAACATGGCATCCTCAACTGTTTGTGAGCAGAGCCAGATTTTTTCCTTATAGGTTTTTAAAATTTTTTTAATTGTTTAGAGCATTATAGTTATGCATAATAGTTGGGTTCATTTTGTCAAAATCATACATGCATGGAATTTTATTTACTCCATTTCAGTTCCCAGTTCCATCCCTTTCCCTTCTCCCTTCCCCTCTTCATCTTTCTCCCTTATGTAGGCTTTGAACTTGCTCAAATGCTAGGAACAAATGCTTGATTGAGGACCCAGAGTTCTCGGTACATAGAGCATAAATAAATAATTTTGGATTGAACAACTTAGTGCAGTTGTTACCACTAGCAACCTACACAGAAAAGAGCCTTCTAAACAACGGATTTGAGGTAGAACTATGGATTGATGGTTAATGCAAAACATACCCCTGCTTTGTCAACCAGGTGAATAAGTTGACCCATTGGGTGTAATTCTTTAGCGTTTTCTTAAACAATGGAGCATGTCTGCCATGCATAGCAATTTTAGATTTGCTGGAGTATGTGTTCTTTTTTTTTTTTTTTTTGGCAATAATTATTCAACAAGTTCAGCTGCTTCTTAAGACAGTCTTTGCTTATTAAGAATAAAATCACATCAGAGAGCAGAAGTTCTCAACTTTGAACATTTGAATCCCACAGGAAGGATTAATATGTATGAATTCCTAGGTTTTCCAATAGATGTTGGCTTAATTGGCTTAGGGTGAGGCCTGAGTTTCAGTGTGTACAGAGTTTCTCATCTGATTCCAACACACAGTCAGGCTTGAGGGTAACTGTCACAGAGGAAGGGTCTTGTCTTCTGATTTGCCAGTGTTTATGTTTCCAGTGAATCTCATAGCTGTGTCATATTATTCAGATATGTTAAAAATAAGAGTGACTCACTCACTAGCTTTGAGCCCTTGAAGGAATCACTTGAATCCCACAAACCTCAATTTTCTCCTCTCTAAAAGAGGGCTAATTCTCTTCTCTAAATTGGGGATAATTGTTACATTAAAGGGGAGTTATGGAGATTTAAATAAAATATTAAGGCTACTAGGTCAGTGCCTAGTATATAATAAGCACTCAACAAAATGGGAGTTGTTACAAATAATGGTGGCCATGGCCCTGTTTTGTATACTCAGAAATGGAACTCAATGTCCTCTGAGTCTGGTGGTAGCCTCATGATACAGGCTTTGACCACAGAGTTCTCTACTGAGGTTACGCTACTAGGAATCTGAAATAAGATCAGAGAATGCTCCAAAGAAGTTCTTCATTGTTCTTCACTGTCTTAAGATGAAACAAAATGGAGCAGTGATCATGGAAGTGGATTAGTCATGCATAATACCCACTCACTCCTCATGGAAAGAGAAACCCAGCCCAGAAACCCTCTGAGAAGAAAACTGCCATAAAATATCAGGGGACATCCAAAGAGAAAGTAACGAGTTTCAAATTTGAGAATTAGGTTGTTTTGGGTTTTTTTGGAAAAAAAAAAAAAAGCCCATAAAACAAATTGAGGTAAATCATGATGAGGAATATCCTTCATAGAAATTTAGTCAGGAATCTTTTGGATTGTATTGTTTTTTAAAAAAATTTTAGACTATTCATCAGATATCTTAGAATAAATGACTTCTGTTTTTTTCTTTTTAAAATCTCTTGTTAAATGCAAATTTGATAAATATGTATGTCTATACATATCCTAACTAAATATAAAGCAGTATTTTTAAAAATAGAGTCATAGCACTTTAGGGCCAAATGATTTTTGCTGGGGTGAACTGTAGAATCTCCCAAATGTGATGTGATAAATGTGATGATAACATCAAAAGAGTATAAGTTCTATTGAAATCACTCCCTTGGTTCTCAGATGGAAATGCTCACTTTATACTACTATTGCAGAAAGAATACCAGGGTTCTTATGTGCTCAAATTTGCATTTTTGAAATCTGATCACTTTGGTTGAACTGAAAACCTCCCATTAAAATAGATTCTAAAATATGTGAGTGTGTGTGTGGGGGGGTGTTTCTAAATAGTCTAACAGCTTGTAGAATAATTAGAATATACATAGCATGGAACTGAGCTCTGACCTAATTCTGAATTCTCTTCCATTCTGATTCCTGAATGTTTGTAGAAAACAAAGACCTTGTTATGTTATTCCACAATCCAAAGAAATCTTTAACAATTCAAATCAATAACCTTAACTCAGCATTAAAGATCCCTATAAAACTGGCCCTAAAATGTTATCTGATTCTAACTTTTTAAAAATGTTCTGAGGTGCCCAGAACAACTGCATCAATTGCTTGTTCTGTCTCTTCTGAGAATACTCCTTCCACTTTATGTCTGCCTTTCAAAACTTGACTATTCTTTATGCCCCAGCTCAAATGCTATCCTTTTGAGAAGACAGACTCAGTCTCGGCCTCAATCTTAATTTTACTACTTTCTTGCTCTGTGTTTCATGGAGCTTCATATCCTTTCTACAGCATTAATTATACTTTTTGTTTTGTTAAAAATTACTTGGAAAGCCATAGTGAATGACATATAAGGGAAAAGAACATAGACTTTGAGCAGGAGAAGACCTGAGCTAAAACTCTGGCTCTTGGGCAAATCACTTAATTTCTCCAAATTTCAACTCCCTCATTTATAAACTGAAAAAAAATATTACCAAATTTGTGTGGATTAGTAGGAGATATCTTATGAGAATATACAGGTAAACATCCTCAATAAAGGATAGCTAATATTATCATGGTTATTCAGATCCTCTCCCCACTAGTTCATTAACAGTACCTTATAGCATCTGACACTCCATAGTGATTTCTGAGTTGAATGGAAGCAACCCAAATTGTTGGCATCTGCTGCCAGGATCTTACTGAGCTATTAGTTTTTCAACATCTGTTTTGAATTTCAGAAAGAAATTTCCATTTTTAGAAAACAGCAGCATTTTCCTGTGGCATTTCAAATGTCTCAATACTGCAATGATTATAACTTCTGCTTGATAGAATCCAAGTCAGCAAAACCAGGGTGAAAGCCCAGCCTACAAGTATGTCTACTTTACTTAGGCCCACAAGACCATAATTCTCTGTACAAAGAGCCCAAACAACAAGGAACACTGTGTGAGCTTTTAATGACATTGCCCTTTGCTCAGATGTTTAAATAGCAGCAATAATAGAGCTTGAGAAGCTCTTAATTATCCACAATACTTGGAGACAGAGGAAGCAGGTCATAGAAAACCCTGGTTTTCTTTGATATCTAAAGTGCTGATAACTATACGGGATGCACTCACAATGTGTTTTTAATGACAGTTATTGAATCCCTTTTCTTGACTCCCAATTCCTTTATAAACCTCTCCAAAGAAGTCTCCAGTAGTTTCTGAATTATTTCCTGTAGAAAGCAGAATTTTCTTACTTACCATGATTCCTGAATAATCTAAGTCTTTTTTATTTTTCTTTTTTTTGTTGTACTCTTTCATTTCTTTTTTTAAATATATATATATATATTACATATAGGGGATGCTAAGGGGAAAGCATGAGGAGCAGGGGAAGGCTTAACTTCCAGAGGAAAAAGTTTTGGCTGTCAGAAATATAATAGAACTGCCATAAGAATATTAAATCAGCCATGCTAATTATGAAACATAATTGAGGTTATGTATTTGTGTCAGGATGAATAGATCAAACTCCGCCCCCCATCAAGATAGAAAATAAAAATCAAGAAAAGAGAGGTAGAGATATTAGGATCCCAGAATTAGAAGAAACCAACATGCCCAAGTGTATAATGATGTTTCAGCACCAAGGACAGAGCCAAAGGGCCTTAATACTCACCCATCCTATAAAATTAGCAAAGTTTTTAGTGTTTTAAAATCTCCACTCAAATGATTGTATACTCATCTATATATTGTTTTTCTGAACATTGGTTATATTTTAGATCTTGGTCTGATATATAAAGACGCTAGCCAACTACAGCTCCCAAAGTAAAACTAGGCAACAGATGAACAAGATAAGTTTATAGTTATAATACTGTAAGTGCTATTACACAGCTGTGTACAAGTGGGGGGATCTGGAGGAGGGAATGATTACTCTGACTAGTGCAAAGAAAGATCTTACAAAAGAGTGGACCTACTGGATATTGAAACTGGATATTGAAAATTGATTTTGCAAGAAAGAGAAGTAAGACCTTGAAAGTACCCAGTACATTCAGAGATTTCTGAAAATGTGATTAGAGGTGACTGAAAAGTAGGCTGAATGGGAGAAAGGGATTAGGCTTGAGCACATCACCAAGTGCTGAACTCAAGCTAAGGGGGTTAGGCTTTATCCTGGGAAAAGGGAAATTCACTGCCTCCGTTTTAGAAAGAAAAGTTCAGAAAGATTGTTCAGACATCAGAGGAGAGAATAAACTAAAAAACATAAGAAATGAGAGGGCAGAAGGTTGAATAAGGGATGTGTGTCCATCTCGTCCTGGGAATGAAGGCTGCTCCATCATAACCATGCTTGGACAGAGAGAATTTTCTTGGCTCAGTTTTCATTTTTTTTTTTTAAGCTGCTCACAAGAGTTTCATATGTGGATTGTGTCTCTCCAGATTCCTCCAAGAAGATAAAGGATGTCTTGACTGAATTTAACGAGGGTGGAAGCCTCCAACAATATGGCCCACATGAGGTAGGAACATTTCCATTCTAAGCCTTTTTAAAATCCCCATGTTCCAGGCTTTCCATAATCTATTTTCCTTGAAGACCTTGCTCCTTGATCTTTTTTTTTTTCTTTTTCACCCTCAAGTCTCAAGTGACCCATCAGTGCACTCTGGCATTGTTTCAAAAATCCATTCATCCCTCCGATTGTCCTGCAGACCACATCACACCTTCTCCTCTGTGCCCAGCATTTCATTCCTCCTACTCCCCTTATTCTCAGCTAATAACTGAGAAAATTAAAGCAGTCAGAAAAGATCTTCACAAGCTACTGACCCATGTACCCAACTAACAGTACCTTTTCTCCTGTTGCTAGGAGAGTGCATTCAATCCCACCCTCTTTTGGCCTGTCTTCAGGCACTGCTTCAAACATCTTCCCGAGTCCCTTTCCCTTTCTCTCTCTCTATTTCTGTTTTTCATACCAGCTTTCCTACATATATTAGAATTTTCCCATTAACATATAAACAGAATTACTTTTCCTATATTAAAAAGTGTTCTCTTGACTCCACTTCTCCCTTCCAGCTACCATTTCTCTCATGTCCTTGATAGCAACGCTATGGAAAAGATTTGCCTATACTCATCTCCAACTTCTTTTCTCTCTACTTTCTTGAAAGTCCTTTCTTCAGTGTGTAACTCCTGTTCCTTCACTAAAACTCCTAGTCCAGATGGCCAGAGACCTCCACGTGGCTAAATCCAATAGCAGTTTTGCCCAGTGGCCTTGGCCACGGTGAGTCAAATCCTCCCCCAACATTCATTGTGTTTCAGGATCCCACACTCTCCTGGTTTTCCCCTTACCCCTACACTTGACATTTTCCACTTAAAAAAACAAATGGGAATCTCAAACTTACCATGAGCTAAATTAGTATCTTTAATCTTCCCCCATAAAACTTGTTTTCCCAGCAGTCTTTCAGTCAATGTCACTTCCACTCTTCAAATTATTCAGCTAAAACTGTGGAGTCATCATTGGCTTTTTCTCTTGCTCTCATAGCCCCCATCAAGTACATCTTCAAAATTTACCTTCAGAACATATCCATAATCCAGCCACATCTCACCACCGGCACCACAACCATCCTTACCTATGTTATCACAGTAGTTTGCTCAGATTATCCCAAGAGTCTTGTAACCGGACTTCCTGCTTCTTCCCTTTTCCTTTAACATCTATTCTTCATACACATCCGGAGCAATCTGTTAAATTATGTCAGAGCCTGTCACTACTCTTCTCACAATCTCCCAGAGTTCCCTCACCCCCTATTCAGAGTAAAGGTCAGATCAAGGTCATTACAATCTGCACCTCCTCATCTTTTACTTCTCTCCTCCTTCTCGTTCCTTTCTGGCCAGCTTAGCTTCCCAGGTGCTGTCCAGCAGGTCAGTGTTGATGTAGCCTCAGTACCATTGCATTTATTGTGTCTTCTTCTTAGAATGTTCCTCCCCAACATCTCCACGAGGTTCATTCCCTCACCTCAACTCCTTCACATCTACACTCAAGTCATTTTCTTGGTGATTGTCCCCTTCTTTGCCCAAAATTTGAAGCCCTCTTCCCTGACCCTTCCTGTCCAAGTGCTTTGCTTTATTTTCTTCCTTAGTGCTTCTCACCATCTGTCACACCATATCAGTTACTTAATTAATTGTTTGTCTCTCCCACTAGAATATATTTGTTCATTGCTGTGTGTCCGGTGCCCAGAAGAGTATCTGACTCATAACAGTCATTTGACAAATATTTGTTGAATGAATAAATGAATGCAAGACCGCTTCTATTTCCAAATTCAGTGCACATTTCTTGGGTGCCCAGGCATTATGCTGGGCACTACAGAAGATAAAAAGATGAAGAAGCACAGTTTCTTCCTTCTGGAACTTACTCTTTACTGAAAGGGTCAAATTCAAGAGACATGACCCCAGAGTCATGTAATCTTAGGTTAAACTTCTACTTCTGCCATCAACCAGAACGTGATCTTATAAGAGCTTTCACCCCTTTGAGCCTTACTTTCCTCATCTGTGAACTGAAGATAACAAAACATAAAAATCTTTAAGTTTGAGCATGAGGCAATTTTTGCAGCGTCACTTTACAGGACACTTTTAAAAATTGCACTCTTTACTACTCCTCTTCTATCACCCTTTCGCCAGGATGCTTTAAATTCAGCTCCCTTTTCCCTGCTCCTGGGTTCTTTTATGAGGGCCAGAAAAGGGACAGATCAGAAGGATTAACTTGGGGAGAGGCTGGCCACTTACTTATTCACATTGTCATCCATTCAACAAACCTGAGTCAACGCCTTCTCTGCTGGACCCTGGGAGTGAATCAACAGAGCCCGTGCTCTCTTGGGGTGCACCTTAGAGGAAGTTAAAAGACACTAATTGCTGGGAGAATGAAGCAGAAGGGAGGTTGCCAGAACAGGGAAAAGAATGAGAATACACGATTTCAAAGAACATTCCTAAGGAGAAGCCATGCAGAGAAGATGGCAGAGCCAGCAAAGAACTCACTGCCCCACACCTTCCACCCCCAATGCAGAAAGCAGGGGAACAAAGGCTGGCGGGGGCTGCTAATCAGCCTGTTTTCTCCAGGGACTGATGCATGGGAGGAACAATTTGGTCAGGACCACCGCGGGTGTGAGCACCACGGGAGCTTTCGGAAGTGGGGGCAGCTTTTTTGTTGAGAGCACGTGGCCACCCCCACCTCCATCAGGGCTGGCCCCCATTCTTTGTAGGCCTGGCACTGCTGCATCCCAAGGGAGCTCTGTCACTCTGATTTCATTCTTTCACAAAGAGCACCTGACTTCTGGTAGGTGTAATGTCATGGCATGGGATTGGGAAAACAAGAAGGGTTTAATTTCTCCTGAACTTGATGGCTTGCTGCTGCTAAAATGTCTCAACAAGAAAAGAATTAGCTGTGGGAAGGGGCAGATTGCTAGGAAAGCTGGGACAGGAATCCAAAGTTTATAGAATAGCGAAGCTGTATCTGGCCATCATGAATGTACCCTTGCCTATTAGCACCATAGATCCTCTGGAGGCTAAACCAGTGACAGACAGCTAGAGAGGGCTCAAAACCCAGCAGAGCAAAATAGGCAAGTGGCTTGGTGATACTGTGAGCCTAGACTCAAGACACATCAGAGCCCAGATTTCAGCTCTGTGACATATTTGTGATCTTGACCAAGTTATTTATGTCATCAGAATTTGGTGGGGTTTATTTTATTTTTTTTAGTTGTAGATGGACACAATATCTTTATTTTTATGTGGTGCTGAGGATCAAACCCAGTCCCTCACACGTGCAAGGCAGGCGCTCTGTCACTGAGCTACAGCCCCAGCCCTCAGAATTTGTTTTATCCAAAAAATGATAATAAGAGTCTGGCTGGCACTGTCATCCTGAGAAGTCAAGTGTCCCATGCTTGGTGAGCCCTCTCTCTCAGTCTCCTCCCTTCTTCACCTGGGTAAGATGAACCTGTTCTCTTGGAAATAGGTTGCAACAGCTGCAATTGCCCAGCTGCTTCCTGCATGGAATTTGCTGCTGCTGGGGGAAAAGCAGAATTCCTTGGACCTGACAATGAGGGTGTAGTGACATTCCCATAGCACTCCAAGAATTGCCAGTGGACCTCCTAGTGGTTGTTAGGTAGTTTTGGTATAATACCAAGCCACCCCCTCCCACTCACACATTCTGCATTTACTAAGTAGCTACTCTGCCCCTAGCCTGTGCTTATAAACAATTTTCTTGTAAGCCAGATATCCTTTGAGGATGGCATGCAGTGACTTACTGAACTTATGGTTCTTGCGGGGAATGACAAGTAGAACTTTGCCAACCCTGGAATCTGTAACAGAGACAGTAAAGATCTGGCTTCAGGTTTTACTCTGCCTCTAACTAGCTGGGGCAAATCACTGAATCTCCTGAGCCTGCATGGCATGAGGAGTCCCAGTCCCCTCTGAGCCTTTTCTGGTTTGAATGTTCTGTGTTCCCCATTTATTCTATGCCATTCTGTTCCCTGGGATAGGGACATGAATAAATGGGCATGAGTTCCATCATTATTGTTTTCTCAGTTCTCATGGAACTCACCGCTTCTGACCATATATTATTATTTCAATATCTTTATGGTATATGTAACACCGTGTCTCTTGAAGGTGTGAACCTATGTCTGATTCAATGGTGTGTTCTCCACTGGTGCTCAGCCCAGGCACAAGGCCATTCCTGAAGTGCACCAACTAGGAACCCATCATCCATTCAAAAACCTATCAAGGCACCATGATTGGTGGTTTAGGGAATATAAAAATGAAATACAACAGACACCTTAGCATCTCTACCTTCTAGGACCTCTATATCTAGTACAAAAAGTAAGATATGTCACCAATAACTAGATTAATCAGAGCAGTATATACAAGTGTCACAGAATAGGAACCAGGGTTCAAAGTGTAGGAATTCAGGTACAGGAGAGCCTGTCGGGCTTCCTTGAGGAAGTGGTAGCTGGATTGGGCTTTAAATCCTGGCTAAAATGATGATAGATGGAGAAGGAAGTGGTTTATGCTGAGTGAAGTTCATAGAGGCTTGGCCAGGAAAGAACCCAGAGACCAGCATGAACAGAGTGCATAATTACACATTGGGAATGATAGGAGAAAATACCAGAATGGTCTGAGAGCTTGAAGTAGCTACAAATTCTGATTGGAGTGGATTATACAGGAGGCTGTGAATTCCAAGTTCTCAGAAACTCCACAGAATGATCCATTGTATCATAGAAACACTACTTCTTAGATCTCCTATTTATATTCGTTTTTATTTCATCTAGTTTCCTTTTGCATGTATTTTATGATATGTAGTACAGACACACAGTACTACATCAACTGATTACAACTCTTTCTTGGGCAATTAGAAGTCATAGAAAATTTGGGGAGCTGGGGCTGTAGCTCAGTGGCAGAGCACTTGCCTAGCATGTGTAAGGCACTGGGTTCCATCCTCAGCACCACATAAAAATAAACAAATAAAATAAAGGCATTCTGTCCATCTACAACTACAAAAAAAAATTTTTTAAAAAGAAGTCATGGAAAATTTTTGAGTGGGGAAGCAATCTTATCAGAGTCACACTTTAGGAAGTCAATCTGGCAAGCATGGATAGACAGACGGGAGGACCAACAGATGGAGGTGAGGAAGGAAGCCCTAGAGAGGTATTGCAGCGGTCCCAGTAAGGTTCACGAAACAAGTCAGAAACTGGTGATAGCAGCAGGGACAACAGACATGGAAAAGGTTCAGATATGACAGACATTACCAAGGAACAGTGGACAGAAGGAAGGGACAATGACTAGTCTTAGGTCATTGAGAGTTCAAAGATGAGTCTAGAATATTGGGAGAATTTCTGTTGTTGGCTAGTTTAGGGAGGAAGCTAAAGTTTAAAACTTGAGCTCTTCTAACCAGCCACCTTACCTTGTTGAAAAGAGAAACTGGGGCTCAAAGAATGTGATAGATCTGAGACCATCGGCGGGTATCCTGAGTCTCACACTTATTTTGTTTTTTCACAGCATAATGTTAGAACTTGTCTAACCAAACTAGCTTTTTGTTAAATCATTTAGTACAATCTGTTTTCCAGAAATACATCATTTCAATAGTTCTCAATACTATTAACCAAGAAATTAACAGTACATTTTGGGATTCAAAACTACAGCTTAAAACAGTCCTGTCAATTAAAATAGTTTGAAAAGACAATGCAAAAGAGCTTTTTGAAACAAGTTAATGAACGCCATTAGCAAATATTCCATCAAATCAAAATAGAGAATGAAGAGAACCAAAATGGAACAGAAAACAGAGTTTCAACAAGGAAGATTGAAATGCTGTCATGAAGCCAAAAAATTAGAAAGTCTAAAAAGAAATGTTTGAATATATAACCTCCAAGACAGTTCAGAGGTAAAGGGCTAGCGCCCAAACTGAATGGGATGAAAGCGGTAAGGGGGGCTAACATGGTCTCTTTGGAGAGGTGGGAAGGAAAGGGTAAGAAGGATGCTCTACTAGTTCCAGCAGGCAGCGATTGCTTCACAACGGTGACCATGGAGCAAGCTTGCTGGTAGAAGTCAAGCAAATGCTGGAAGATGCAACCAGAGACGGACATGCAACCAGTGGAAGAAGGGGTCACCTTGGGTGAGTCACACTCGGAAGTAGGAGGAGAAGATTTTGTACTGGAAAAAAGGAGAAGGATGTGAGAAGAAGGAACATTCTGAGGTGATGTGGCTGTGAAGATAGAGAGGCATAGAAAGAGCCTGAACCAGGGAGACACAGACTCCGGAATAGAAAAAGGACAGAGATGGATAATTGTCACAATAAATGGAAATCTACCCGTTCTTGGTTTCCTTATTCTTTATCTAACACAGCTTTCTTCCCCCCAGCAAAGGAGATCTCCAGAACAGTCCTGCCTGGAGCTAAATACAAATTGCTTGATGAGCTCCTAGTGGGGTAGGTAGGGATCATTGGATTGCAGGGCCAAGACTTGGAACCTAAACTTGACCATTCACATACAAGTCAGCTCCTAGTTCTGAGAAGGCTCCCAGAGCTCCCAGGGTGGACGAGGGGTCAACATTTGGATGGGAGCACCAAGTAGGCTCCCCCCAAGGGGATTTTGTTCTCATGGCTGTTATTATTCACAAAAACCAGCACAGCAGATTTTGAAGTAGTGCTTCCTAGGCTGATTTCCAGGAGCATCTGCCGATTTGATGAAGAATCTGATGCCATGAAAGCACAGCCAGTGATGACTCACTGCACACTGTTGTTGTCGTTGTTGTTGTTGAGTGTTTGCTGAGTGCAGCAGCTCTTTCTGGCACGGATGCTCTCAGCCTGGGACCAGAAGCCAGGCGGTACTGGGAGAGACGCAGCAGGGAAAGGGTCTAGTTTTTGGCATGTCTCTTGGTTCTACCTTCTGTCCTTGGCTTCCTACTCTTCTCCTGGTGCCTAAAACCTTCCCAAGGACATGTTTCGAGAAGCAGCTGAGCCAGACACACACAATCCCCTGTCATCTTGGGATCTGCCCAGGGAAGATCAGAATGATGGAAATAATGAAGGATGGAGCTTGTCCTTTTCTCTTCCTGGTCTCTCCTATTTTCTGAAACCTGAATACTGAGGAATCACAACCTTTAAGGCACAAGAAGAAAATCGAGATACCACAGAGGAACCATTTCTTTCCATCATGTTCTCAACTGAGTCCTTCTTCCTCTTAGCTGGGATTCCAGGGCACTCTCCGAGACCCTGTTCTCTAAAGCCATACTCCTCCCAGACAAAGGCAGAGCCCTCCACCTCCAGAGCTCACTCGATTACCCACTTTTTATCCAAATTTAGGCCACATCCTATCTTGTTACATAATCCCACTCTGGTTTGGTACCCCATTGAGCCCCGATGTGCAACTGCCCGTGTTTTCTTACATTCCCACCTCCTGCTCCCTGTGCTTGTCATTCTCTGTCACCTCCCTGGCCCTTTCACTCCTGTCCCCATCACCTCTACTTCCTTCGCTTCCTTCTCCATTTGCCTCACCGACCATTTTCCTGCTTCCTTTTCCATCTTCCCTTCCTCCCTGTTCCTTCACTTCCCTCCACTGACTTTTCTTTTCGTCCTTCTCAGCCAGTTAGCTATGATGTCTTCAAGCTGTTCATGAGAGCATACCTGGAGGTAGACCTTCCTCAGCCCCTGAGCACACACCTCTTCCTGGCCTTCAGCCAGAAGCCCAGACATGAAACTCCTGACCACCCAAAGGAGGGAGCCAGCAGCAGCGAGCCCAGTGGCCCAGGTACATGGACCAGTTTTCCCCAAGGTGGGAGGATGTGAAGCAGCTCCAAAGACCTTGTCACAAACACAAATCTGTATTTCGAGAGGGTGTCCTGTGCATAGTAACTTCCCCGTGGGGTGAGAATGAGGATCAAGGGACCAGGACTCCTTTCTTATAGGACCTTACAGGAAGTCCTGTTTGATGACTCCCTTGTTAAGAGGAATAAAGATGAGAATAATTCCTGCCCCTCAGGATCGGAGGGTAGGATGGGGGGAAGAGAGAACACAGACTAACAAGTGGCAGTAGGAAAAAAGCCCTCAGCAAAGATTCTAGTTTATAAATGGAGCATATTCAGCCCATGTCCAGGTAGGACTAGAGTAGGAAGGAGAAGGCATGGCTACTATCTTCCTGGAGCTTGGGCTGCAAGAGGGGAGACAGCCCACCCCAATCAGTAAGCATGAACCAAACTGAAAGTGACCCAGGAACAGAGACAGAACCTGAATGAACATTTCACGTGGGAAGGTCCCCTACCTCTCTGTACGAAGCTGGAAGGCATAAGGTGACCTTTAACTCTTTTGTTTCCCAGATTCTAATGTACAGAATGCAGATAATGCTGCTAAAGCAGACGAGGCCTGTGCCCCTGATACTGGTGAGTCTTTGGAATATAAGATTTGGGGAAGAAATGGGGAATACTCATCCTTGGGGAGAGCAAGGATACCTAACTGCCAATTTTTGTCTCCACACAATTGTATAACTAAAACAGATCTTTCCTTATGATGCCTTCAGAACCTTCATCTCTGGGGCTCTTGCCATCTGAATGTTCTAGTATTCCAAGATTAGGTAAAGGTCTTGCTTCACTTGTCCTGGAACAAATGTTTACCTCTGACAGGTCTGCCTGCCCAGAGACAGCAAGCATTCTCAGGAGAAGGGTGGGTGTGCTTTCCTGGGTGTGCACACACACAGGGTTGGCTCAAAGGCTGAGATACAGATGATTCTATCAATGGATGGATGAAGAGGGTATAGCAAGAGTGAATGTATGCCCTGATTGACGTTTTAAAAAATATTTTTTTTCGTTGTAGATGGACACAATACCTTTGTTTTATTTATTTATTTTTATATGGTGCTGAGGATTGAACCCAGTGCCTCATACATGCGAGACAAGTGCTCTGCCACTGAGCCACAACCCCAGCCCATGATTGACTTTTGACAATAAATAATTTACATATTTGGTTATATAAATTGGAGAGTTGCTAATGAATTTAACAAGAGGAAGCCAGCTACAATTGTTTTGAAGATATATTTGCCATGTACCTTTTTATTACATATTCCTCTAACCATCATAATCATACCACTTCACACATGAGGAACAGAGGCTCTAAGAGATTATATATGACAAGATTATATATGACACTTGTCTAACCTCAAAGTCCCTGCTCTCTTTCCCTCACAGAGAGAGGAAGCAGTGGTTTCTCTTGAGGTGCCTAATGGTTTACTGCTATGTAAAGGTGCCATTTTGGTTAGTTCCTGAAAGAATGATGAAGGCTATATGCTTAATGGGGCTATTGTAGTACCTGCTGTTCATAGGCCCTCCCCTGGGCTGTGACAGATGTGGAATCTTCCTTGATACACTTATCAGTAGAAAGCCACTTCTGTTTGCTATTAACAGGCCCAGACCCAAGGCAAGAAGCTCCTGAGAAAACTGGAAGAAGCAAAGATTACCATCTTTGACTTCCATCCTCATGTCCAATACAAATTTCCTGATCATTTTCAACCTAAGTTTTATCAGGCAATAGAGCATATTGGTCAAGAATCTGGACTTCAGAGTCAGACTGCCTGTGTTTGATTCCCAGCTCTGACATTACCTAACTCTGTAACTAGAGGGCATGTTTGAACAATGTCTTTATGCTTAGGTGTCCCGTTTGTAAAATGAAATGATAATATGAATTTATATGCAGATTAAGTGAGTTAGATATGTGAATGCTTTGAACAGTGCCTGACACATATAACATTAGTCTTCAGTTCAACGGTATTAGCCATTATGATTCAGGCTGCCTCTATTCTTAACTCATCATGGTCTGCCAAACTCTCCTTCAGTATGCACCCTCAGTCTGCCGGTGTGTCAGCTGGGAATCCTGTTTTCATGGACTCTTTCTCCCAGGTTGCTCCTGAAGCTTCAAATAAAAACCTAAGAGAGTTGAACCTTGTTTGCTATAGATTTTATTTTATAGAAAATACAGGTACATGATGGTGAACTCAAGCACTTGGGATGTGCCTAGGGAATAAGAATGTGGTTTTATTATATTTTTCATATGTCTACATATATGTGTATATATATGTGTGTGTGTGTGTGTGTGTGTGTATGCAAGACAGATAAGAGGTACTACAACTGAAGGAGAAAGAGAACCAATTGTAACAGAGATCCAGGAATATAGTTTCCTTAAGTGGACACTAAATATAGTTTTAGTCTTTATTCCAGTCATACCTAAAAGGAAAACTATAAGGATTATGGAATTTTCATTGTTACACTAAAGGAGAGATGAGATTTTTAAAACTTCACTATGGATGGGAGCAGAGCATGGTTTGTATAGGAGAGTGGCCTCTGCGATTGTATGCTTTGTAAATTGCAGGCTGCTCATGGAGCCCCAGAGAGCAAGGATGAAGAGCATGAGTGTTTCCTGATGCCTTTGGGGACCACAATAGAACAAGACCTTATAAAAGTGTAGTCTCAAACATGCCTGCTCAGCACTCCACCACCCATGCTTAGGCCAAAGACCCTTGATAAATGGACTTAAGACATAAATAAGTCTTACTTGGAATAGAGAAGACATATTCTGACATAAATAATCCTCATAGTAAGAAAAAAGGGAAAAACAGAAGTTTCGGGATTTTAAACTCCTAAAAAGAAAAACAATAGTGAGAAACACCCTGCCCCAAACTCTTAGCCCAAGTATCTGGTACCTCAAGAGGAATAAGGGAGAAACTACATTTCATTCTTGAAGTTTGGAATTTTCTGGGCAAGGTATGTTTTAGTGGCTGAAGATTTTGAGGTATCAAGGAAGAACTTATAGCAGAGAATCCATTATGTGATATTTGAGAAAAGATAGTGGATAATCATAATGGAAGTTGGCTGATTTATGGACCCACCATGCTTATTTTAAATAGCTACATCATTATAGAGCTAAAAGAGAAACTTCCAAAGATTTCTCCTGGAGAAGTGATTTGTGATGCGCCATTTTCCTTGCTTATGGAGAAAATCATGTGGTCAAATCATGAAAGGCCAATTATTTGATTCTTGGTCCAGGGGGAATGTATAACATTGTGTTTTGTTTTGTTTTGTTTTTTTCTGAGACTTGAGGTTTAAAAGAGAAAATCCTTTTTCTGCTAGGCCCCCTTCAATAGATGTCTTAATTAAATGCCCCTGTTCTTCAGAAACAAGAATCAGGGCCAGGCAGATGCCACACAGAGGGCCTCTGCCAGCAGGGAGGAGCCAAGTCCTGGAATCACCAGAGATTAGACCATCTGTTGAAAATCCCAGCCCTTTCCTGGTTCCCAGGAAGAAGCCAGAGGAAGAAACTAGATTCTCGTTTGCTATGACCTCTCGCCTATCAGATCAGTCTGCAAGCTCAGGTCTAGCACAACCCTCTTTAGGTTATTCATTCCAGAGCTAGTGAGTGCATGTTTGTCTCCATAAGGCACTTAGGATGGCCTTTCACAGAGTCCAGTCATTGGCTCAATCTGTCATTGTCATGATGTCAGCTCAGGAAGGACCTGGGCAAAATGAAGAGCTATAGTTTCCTGGGTTGTATTTAGTTTCTTATGCTATTGAGATATTTCAGCAATTCAGAATGTTGAAGTCTCAGGGAAAGCCCTATTTTGGAGAGTTTCTGTTCTATTGTTTTTAGTTTTCCTCAATTATAAAAATAGTTTACTTACATTATAGAAAATTTGAAGAGTATGAAAAAAGAAAAGAGAACAACAAAGATCAGTGATTGTTAGAGGTTGGAGAGGAAGGGATAAGTAGGCAAAGCACAAAGGAATTTTAAGGCAGTGAAACTATCCCATATGATGTGACAACGTGACGATACATGTCATTACACATTTATCTAAATCCACAGCATGTACAACAACAGGAGTGAACCCTAATGTAAACAAACTATCGATTTCAGATGATAATGATGTGTCAATATAGGTTCATCGACAAATGTTCCATCCACTCTGGTGAGGGACCTGGATACATGGGAGGGAGGCTACACATGTGTGGGAGCAGGGAGTGTGCAAAGAATTTCTGTACCTTCCTCAATTTCACTGTGAACTGAAGCTTCTCTTAAAATTTGTCTTAAAAATAAACGAAAAGAAGCAACAAAAATACAATGATACAATTATGTGTGTGTGTGTGTGTGTGTGAGATTTCCTTGTAGGATTTTTCCACTTATTTTTTTTACAGAATCAGGATCAGACTGTGTATATAATTTTGGATCAAGATTTGTTTTTCACTTAACATTGTATTCAAAAAATTTTCTGGCACTCAAGACTTAAGAGAAGCATCAGTTTTAATGCAAGCCTCTCCTCTGATAGATGAAGATAGCAAGGTTGGCTGTAGGGAGTAAGCTTATTTGTGCAAGATCATACAAAAGTTAGCAGAAATGCAGTACAAGTATCCCTGTCCTGCTTCCTGCCTGGTTCTCTTTTCACTATGTTACATCTCCAAATGGAAGGAAATAAATAATACAGAGACTAGGGAAGAAAGTGGAACCAGGCAGGACCACCCAAGAACCTTCACATGAAAGGATTTATGATGGCACCAGGAAAGAACCTCTGTGATCTGGAAAAGGACATTGACGGTTTTTTACTGGTGGGACCTGAGGGATGTATTCAGGTGGACATAGGTTAGGGATATTTCATATAAGGTGACATAAAGAGGAAGGAGAGCAATGGGACAGTGTCACAGCATCTCCATACAGGAGTGAACACTAAACTCAATGAAAACGAGAACAATGGCTCAAGATCCACACATAGCTCTAGTGATGCAAGGATCTTCAGGAAAGGCTGTAATCAAGTTAAAAAAAAAGTTTTATTAAAGTAAAATTGGCATAAAATAAATTGCACATGTATATATATTGCACATGAATAAATTGACACGTATTGTAAAAATCAGTACAATCATCAATATAATGAATATATCCATGATCTCCAAAAGTTTTCTTTATAATTCCTTTCTCCCACCCTCCCACCTCTGATCTGCTCTCTGCCACTGTGTTTTAGATTGCATCATCTGGATTTTATATAAAGTGAATTCTATACCATGTACTTTTGTTGGTCTGCCTTGTTTCACTCAGCATAATAATTTAGAGCTTTATCCATTTGTGTGTATGAATATTTTAGTTGCTAACTAGTACTCTAGCATATAGATGTTCCGCAATTTGTTTATCCACTCATCTATGGATGGACATTTTTCTTTCTTATTACATATAAAATTGCTATGAATATTCTTGTACAGGCTTTGTTAGGACAACGTTCATTTTTCTTGGGTAAATAGCAAGCAATAGAATGAATGGTATAATATAGTAGGTACTGGTGTACATTTAACTTTATAGGAAACTTTCAGACTCTTTCCAAAGTGGTCAAACCATTTTGAATATCTAATAGCCA